CCCCCCCCCCCCCCCCCAGTTATGCAGTATGAGCTGTTTCATTCCATATTTGTTAAGTAGAATCTACTGCGTGCAAAGAATTTCATAAGAGGTCTCCATGACAAAAACGTCAAGCTGTTCATGCTAAGACTTTTCACTATTGCATTTTTGTGTTGGAGAAACACACATCTGGCAATTATCTAACCTTGTAACTCTCAAGAGCTGACAGATAGTGTCTTTTTGTATCTGTCACTTGAGTTGAGGAGGTTTCCTGAGGTTTGGGACAGGAAAACTGGAGGAATACTAATTTCACTGCCTTCAGTAAAAAAGCAAAATTATGCATATGCTTGCTTTTTCCATTTGAAGTCGAAGTGTGAGGTTGAGGTTTTAATTTCTTAATGATTACAGTGAGCCAAGGAAACACCCTGAGTAGTAAACTTCTGAGTCACAGACATTTATTGTCACTTAAAGCAAAGATTGACATAGTTAAACAGCTGCTGAAGTTTTAATCCTGGTCTGAAATAATCTGTTCCTGTTCACAACCTCCATTTGCTTTATTGGAAAATTGACTTGTATAAGTTTTGTCGTACTGGAAAGAAAACTGCCAAGCATAAAATTCCTTCCTTGCCCTACAGTGTTCTTCGAGGGGGGAAAAAAAGCTGCCACTTCATTGTTTTGATTTATCGGCTGAAAATGTTCTTAATTCAAGGCCCCACCAAGTCAACTTCTGAACCTCCTTCAAAATTATGGCAAGGGCTTGAAGTGCGTGTGTGTGTGTGTGTGTGTGTGTAAAATAAATGTAGGCAAAATATTATACCTAGATATTCCTACCTTTTTACTTTGGAAATAAACCAACCATGCCCCCAAGGAAGAGCATTTTCCCACACTGGAAAATCAGATGGTAAAAGTGAATAGAGTGACTGTTAAGCACTGAAGGAGTGTGCACTAGAGTTTATACTAGTTTGAAAGAGAGAATTGTTTCCTACTGATTCATGACACAGCATTGGATAAAAGTATCGTTAATTACTGAACTCTTCATTGTCTGTTGGATTAGGCAGACAGGATGCATTCTGTGAATGCATGACTGCACGGGGGCTGTGTTTGGGTCGACCTAACTGGCCCTTTTCTCCCGGGGTAACTGAACGTTGGTAGCATCAGCACTTAGATAAAAAGCTGCTCTGTTTACTACACAGTATATCTGGCCTATGCACCCTTCTGCATGCATGTCAGCACTACTTTTACAGGTTGGAAGGGGTAGAGTGCATATTTAACACATTTAATTTAAACCTAACTACAGTTGTACCAGTAATTTATGAAGCTAAACACCCTTTAGGTTAAGATGAGCTCAGAAGGCTCAGCGGGTTAAGCATGCTAGTCTTTCACCTCAGAAGACCTAGGCTTTCAAATCCTGCTTAGTTCACATGAAAATGAATGTGGTAGTCTCATTCTAGCCCCTAGAGGAAAACTGTAAACATTGCATTGCCTCCATACATGGTGGCAAAAGTTGAGGGCTTCTGTTAAAGAGGAATTCAGGATTGAGGTGCTGAAAGGGTTATGATCAGGCATTGGTAGGACCGACGGCATCAGTTTTTCCCTTTCCCTAATCCCTCTTCCCAAAAAGCAAACTAATTTCAGGCAACTAGAAAAACTGGGATTTTTTTCTTAATATATGTGTAATCTCTTACTTTACTTGAAAACTTCAACCATTATTTTTTGAACATTTTACCAATGCTTTTCCCTTCTATGAGTGGCCCTACACTTTTTATGCTGTAATCAGATTTTCATAAGGAGTCCAGCGAGTGATATGTCAGAAAATTATACTTCATGACTGCATCAGAGCGTATCTTCATAATGGTGAAAATTGCAGTGTTCTGCACCTCTAGGTCCACAGAGAGAGCACTTCCCTTGGAAAATACTGTTTTCTTGTTTAAGACCATGGTAAGAATTTAAATGAATGGAGTTTTGGGTATAGTAGTTTTATTGCCCTTTCAATCTCAATTCATCTTGTATGTAGTGTATATGCACTAGTTTGTCCTACTGGGACAAAAATCGTGGATATGAATTCTGCTACTGCCCTTCATTCCATCCTTTCCACTCTGAAGCAATTGTAGAAAATGGTGGGATTATAACATCAAACATGAATTTGAGCCAGTAGGCTGGCGTGAGTGTGCTGAAAAAATGGAGGATATCGTGGATGTATGAATTGTGTTAGTTATATGGTATGTGCATGCATTGCAACAGCCAGCTCCATTCATATTGGCAGATGCTTTTTATCTAAATGCCGTGGTGTTCATATAATACATGTCAATCTGAATATATATGCTTTTCTTTTCTTACAGACATGGCTGGATCCTGCCAAGGAGATAAAAAAACAGGTGCATGGTAAGTGGATTGAGTTAATTTTTTTTTGCTTTGTTTTCCTTCCCACTGTAGATATTTATAGACTTGGCACATAATCTAGAGAACCCCTGAGGACTAGCTAGAGTTCACGTAAGAATATTTGGCAGGGACCAGCACCAGTTCAGACAGCACATACTTTCTTGTAGTTTACACTTAATGATTTGCGGGTCTTAAGAACAACAGTGGCATTTTTTCACAATGAAGGATCATGTCCAGTATCTTGTGCCAGTAGGCAGACAAATACTAGACCATCACACTGTAATCCAGAAATAAATAGATCTTTAATCTGACGTTATGAGAGGGAGGGGGAATTAATTAAAGATAATAGGGGACATGGGGAAGGGGCAAAGAAAGTTGCATGCTGTAGCAAACTTCTCTGAATACTTCTGGACAACTCTGGTATCCAGAAATACTGCAAGTGACTTCAGTGGGGTCAGAATAAATAACTGATGCTATAACACAACTGCACTGTGAAGTCTACCAGTAGGCTCGCTTTTCTCCAAAGAAAAATGCCAGGAAACTGAAAGAAGTAGTTAGCGGTGTTAGTTTAAAGTCAAGCAGGAGGGAAGGGCACCTTAGAGACTAACCTGTAGGGCTGTGTGAAGCTTCGGTCCCTGATTCGATTCAGCGGAGATTTGGCCCGATTCGATGGCTGAATCTCCGAATCCAGACTGAATCAGGAGACCCTTTAATCTCTCCGAATTGAATCAGAACCGTCTGAATTGATTCGGAGAGATTCAGAAAGATTCAGACATAGACGCAGCTTTAAATGTTTTTTCTACATACCTTGAGGTACCAGTTGGCTGATGAATGCTGAGATGCTGGGGCAGATGGAGCGTCCCACAGGAGCACTGGGGGCTCTCCAGTGCGCTTGGCAGCAGGCCTGGAAGTGGACCAGAAGCACTTCCAGGTCTGCCGGGAAGCATCTGGAGGGGGCCCTGTGCCACCTGCTCCATGACTGGTGCCTCCTGGGTCTGGGGGGGGTACCCAGAGTCCTCCCATGGCCGAGCAGAGGAGGGCGGGGTGGCCCCCTGTGTACTCCCCTGTGGACCCGGAAGTGGACCGGAAGTACTTCCAGTCCACTTCCGGGTTCGCTATTGAGCATGTGGGGCCCCTCCGCGCTCCTGTGGGATGCTCCATCTGCCCCAGCATTGCAGCATTCACAAGCTGCACCTGGTACCTTGAGGTATATAGAAAAAACATTTAAAGCTGTGTCTATGGCCAAGTCACTGATTCTTTGAATCGGCATCGAATCTTCAGATTCGGATTCGGACGAATTGAATTGGGGAAAGTGATCTGAATCAACAAATCAAATCCCTGTTGGATACAGGCCAAATCCAAATCTGAATCTAATACGGTCCGGTTTGGGCACCCCTACTAACCTGTTCAGAAAGAGATAAGCTTTGTAGGTGACAGCTTGCTTCATCAGCCCTGTCTTTTGCCTGAAAGCACTGAAAGTAAAATTCTAATCTGTGTTAGGCTTAAGGGGAAGAAAGGAGAGGAAGAGGAGAGATTTCAGCATAGCTGTGAACTGAAGATGTTCTTTATATGGTGTGAAAGGAGAAAACCCCATTTGGTTTGATAAAAGAATAGGCCAGGGAAAGTTTGTCTCTCCAATCATCTGTTCCTTTTTAGAAGCTACATAAGGAATTGTTTGCTCAGGGCTTTGGCTGCTTTTACCTCTGTCATACCAAAGATGAATGTTTGTCAAATCATTATCATCATCAGTGGGACAAGTGCAAAATCCTGTATAGAGGTAACGTTAAAAGGAGATCTCTGTTTCATTAATTTGATTAAGGTGACCAATTTAAAAGAGTTGTCATGAAAATGGCATGATTAGGATAGTGTTGTGGTAGTGTTATAGCCCTGAACGTCCAGAAAAATGCACGAGGCAAGCATTTTGTTGGTAACATCTTTTATTGGACTGACATAGACAAGTTTTTGGGTATCACTGTGCCCTTCCTTGGGTCTTTGTGGGGTGGGGGGAAAAGAGACAAAGCAGGGCTAAAGAGCGGGTAGAAAAAGGCTTGTGCAAAACTCCATATATAAATAAAAGCAGAATATAAGAGGTGTTATCAGGTAGCCAACACGTTAGAAATGCAGTAGAAAGGGTAACCTACATAGAAGAGCAAGACTATTCAAGAGGGTTGCTATCACAGGGATCAAGTAGATTATAATGGGCCATGAAGTCAGTGTATCTGTTAAGTCCCTGATTCTTAGTGTCCAGTAAGCTAACAAATTTTTGCTCCCAAGGCCATCTTTTGAAAGTATTTTGTAAGTTTCTCTTGAGCACAAGGACTGTGAGGTCAGAAAGAGAGTATGTTGTTTGGTTTTTTTTTTGTTTTTTGTTTTAAATGTTCTCAGACCTTTGTTCTAGTGTCCCTATCCTTTATCTATCTTTTTTTCTTTGTTTGTTCTGGTGTGTAATTTTTTTCTAGTTCACTCGCATATCTTCCATGTGGGCATTTGGTACCCTGGATGAGGTATGCCATGTTCTGGGATAGATGTGTAGGTTCCATGGATTTATGGTAAAGGCAGGGTTTCTTCCACTACCACCCTGCTGACCAGCAGGGAATTTGCTTCTGATGAGGAGCTGGGCAAAATTAGGGGGCTGTCTGAATGCCAGGAGTAGTGGGGGTGCTGGGATTTTTTCTCTCTGTAGTTAAAGGGGTTGCCCTTTGTAATACAGTTCTAGTCTCTGTTAGCTACTGATAACATCTCCAGCTTTTATTTACATACGGAGTTTTGCACAAGCCTGAGTTTTTATCTGCTCTTCAGCTCTGTTGTCTACTTCCTCTCCCCGCCCCCAATCTCAGGAAAAACACAATGGTACCTGAAAGCTTGTGTTATGTTCCTTCCAATGATACAGACAGTCCAATAAAAGATATCACGCAGAAAAATCGTCGCCTCTTGCATGATTAAGATACAGACTCATATATGGGGATGATCCTTTTCACCATACAGGCCCAGTAAGCTTATCTATGTATCTCCCTTATAACAGACAATCACCCAGATTTGCTCTTGAATAATTTGGGTATTTCTGGGACCATACAATGGAAATGGCAGGTTTTGTCATTAACTCCAATTATAATGTTGTATAGAAGACAGTTCTGTAAAAGGAGTGTGTTTTTTTTTTTTTTTTTTTTTTTTTTTTTTTGGGTT